AGTGGATTGCATTTTGTTGACCAAAAACACTCAACATATTTTTCGTCTGCTACTTTTGTGCCACATATCCGAGTTACAAGACAATAAATATACAATTACAACCGAAAGAATACGAAATATATTTGAATACGAAAAAAATTTGCATGCGAGAAAAATATTTCATAAGACCGTTGAAATTTATTTGAAATACACGGATATATATATATATATATATATATATATATATATATATATATATATATATATATATATATATATATATAGGGAGTCTGCAAGTCGATTTTCGTGCCACTTGTGCCTCACAGAAAAACTTTATTTAGTTAGAGCTAAGAAGCCGTCTTTATTAAACAAAAGAACAGAACTCATTTCTAAATGCCTACACGAGAATAATTACTAATTAATAATTAATTAGTTAGCAAATTTCACAACAGGGGTAAAACTTGTGTTGATGTGTATGCATGGTATGAGTGAGTCTGCCCACTGCCCTCAGTTGCCTTCGATAACTTTAAAAGTAGAAGAAAAACAGTAGATTAGAAACGAACACCATTCATGCAAAAGATTCCGGGTAACATCTTTAGGAAGACAAACCTGTTTCGATGTTTAAGGACCGCTATATCTTCGTTCTATTCCCGACAGAAAAGAGAAAGACCGTAGGGATCAGAATGGTTTTATTGTAATATCGCTCAAGATCACAGAGGAAGACGTGATATTTTTCAGTCGATTAGTTTTGCTCAGCCTGGTACATCTTACTAAGTAGTATAGTATTCATGGTCGAGTGAAATTTTAACTGAATGAGAAGTTTTATAATCAATAAATTCGTGCATGTAAGTGGTTGTCAGGCTCCTGTGGTTATTTATAGTGGGTTTCGTACTCAAGCTCGATTTCAAAAATGTAAAAAATGGAGGAGAAATAAAACTAAACAATTCCGGAAGGCAAAAGAAAGGCAAGAACACAAAACAATAACAAATACCCTACCGAAAGTCTATTTTTTTATCATAACATCGTAGATCTGTGATCCTTCCTAAAAACTCCCTCAAACATTCTTGGATAATCGACGCCAGGAAAAAAACTTCAACCAAGGGTCCTTGACTAGTTCTATCCGAATTTTTTTTTTTTTTATTAGTGAATTGGTTTTTTTTCAAAAAATATCCATAGGGAAAAATTATCTTTGTATACATTTTAATAAAAGTATAGGGCTGAGTAGAGTTTCAGTCAGTCTGTTATTATACGAGTGAACAACAAAGTCTGACAATCGCGAACCTGGAGTAGCAGATGTTAATCACAAACAGAATATGCGATCCAGTTTCCTGTTACCAATTCATGAAGACTAGCAAATGCTCATCGGCTACACTCATTCAAAACTGACAATTTAACAACAATATACCATCTTTGAATGAACTTGACACTTGCAAATGAGGCGAAATATGCTAAACATGATGTGTAGACTGCCCTTTACACATTTTTGACGACGTGCAAACCGTCCTATCGCTTTTTGTGCTCGAGTCGGGATGCTGATGATCAAACAACTTCCTCAAATTTGTTACAGCTTTGATTACACACAGAATGCGAGGACACAATTGCGTTACCACTTAACTTAACTCGAACAAATAAGAAACAAAGGATCGACATCATGGAAAAATCAACGGATACTTGAAAAGGTAATTTAGAATTATCAAACTGAGTTGATAAACACACAAACAACCCACAATTCCTCCAATCGCTCTGGCGAGTGGTTAACGCCCGAAACGTCAGCATTTAAACTTTTTACAGTGGCCGATTTACGTTATCAACTTAGTTGATAATGCTGAATTACCCTGTTATACTCTACCTACTTGAAAGATCTGGTTCCAGTTGTCAGGGTTGGATAACGAGATCCCGCAGTCGGTAAAAATCCCGGTGGATGGTGCAGTACGTTTTGCTATCGCTTTTCTGCTGGAAAGCAATTTATCAGTTGCATTCATATCTAGACCCAAAACGTTAACAATTCACGTAAATAGATTGGCATGATGATCTGGCGAGGTGTTACCGTTCTGTATGTGACAAAATCTTGTCCGCTCTAGGAACCAATTAGATTGCAGGATTTATCGCTCTACGCGTGCTTTATTGGAAAAAAAATATTGCTAATGTATTTAGCCTCTCTGTATGAATTTTACGTTCCTTTTTGTCAGAAAACTAAATTCGATGATAATTGACCACCACGCTGACTCAACATTCGTTGAACAGGAAAACTGTGATTTTCCAGGGTTGTTTTGACACAGAAAGAAATGCTCCCCTAGCTTCATTTGGATAATATTGCTCTCCTTTTTAGATTAATAACAACTCTCAAATGGAAATGATGCAAACTTTACATCTCAATTCCGTTGTGAAACTCATCGGATTGTGCGAGTTAACCCTTTAACTCCCATAAGTGACCAAGACAGAATTTCTCGTTACAATATCAATACGATATCAACTAGATAAGTGATGAGAATAAAGAAAAATATTAATTTGGGAATAATTAGTTGATCCAATACTAAATTATTTGAACTAACATTACAAGAATTGTACGGTTGACTGAAAAGAGAGTTACAAATTTGATCTGGGAGTTAAAAGGGTTAAGGAAGAGATGCCCCAGGAATACCATTCTATCAGTTTCTCTAGGGTTTAAGTTGAAGGAAAACAAGTTAGAAACTTCGCAACAAATTTCTAACCATCAGCGTGACAGACAGTACTAATTTTCGTGATCAATTATCAACTACTCGCAGTCGTCTACTGTAGACGTTTTGAGGTATGCCATTTAGATATCTTTTGAACTAGGCGGGAGAGGTGACTCCTTTGTTCTCCTGTATGCGCCGTTGTCGAGACACCACTGCCAGTATGACAACAACAATAGAAGCGCCTCGCAAAGTTTTCTCAGCTTAGCATGAGGACAGTGATAGTAGCTAACAAAGGGATGGCCATAACAGGCTTCTAGTGGGTTACTATTGAGTAATTTGCCACGAGTGTGAAAGCTTTGTTGTTTATGTTGTTAAGAGTTGAACTATGTATTGTCTTGTGGAAGTTTTTGTTTGTAATTTCACTGAATAGTATCAGCCTAGGACCTCATACGCAGAGGGGATCTCTTTGAACGGAGCCACAAGACCTCTCTCCTTCTTTCAGGCTTTAACGTTGTGTTTTACCGTTTATACTGAGGGTGCAAACGTCACCTCGCCCACGCCTGCATCAGTATCAACAAAAACAACAAAATTGGTGACGGTTACGACCCCATCAGTAACCAATTTAAGTTCAGAACCTGCTTCAAAGACCATCCATGTAAGCTCTACTAAAGTGTATGCGTTAAGGCCACGAGATCCTTCTCCATCCAATTCCCTTACCACATACACAATGGAGCACAACGCTCCCCCTCCCTCCCCCTTTACGAAAGCCCGACAATGGTAATCAAGTATGTTCCTCAGTGAATGAAGAATTTTTTTTCCATAGACCCCCAAATAAAAGTCATGTTGCACACCCCCACGGTCAGGAACAGCCTTTGGGTACTCATACTTTGCCAGATGAAGCCCATTTGAGGGTTCATGACGTTGTGTATCAAGTCCTCGAAAAAAATTCTGCGTCTAATTTTTGTGAGAGTCGAGTGCATCTCTGAGGCAATTCATGCTCCAATTGAATCAGAGCGTGATCACTTGTAACAAAGTGGAGAAATGTGTGAGAAGCTAGGAAAAGTTACGGCCCTCTGTAGAGTGTTATTTAAAGATGAAAATGAGAAATAGCTAGCCAACTTAGGAGGGCATGGGCTATAGAACATTGAACCTGAGAAAAAACAGAAAATTGTGAAATATTTGTTTTATCGCTGAAAACCAAAACCACGAGTTAATGATCTTTCCTACAATCTGTTTTCAGTAGAACTTCGTAAGGAGCGACATAATCGTAATGTATTATAACTAATGTCAAGTCGGGTACATGTAGATCAGTATTTTGACGTACTTAGCATTATGTTAGTCGTTTTGATGTGCTTCGTAGTTTCATTTCGGAAAAACACCATTTGATACCAGAAACCCTATCGTCTAATTTTCTGACTGGTGTTCTCGGTTTGGAAGACAAAGGAAAAAGTTGCAGCAACTGTTATAAAGAACAGAAATGTAGTTCTTGCGATGGAGCATAAAAGAAAGGAATGAACGACCGCTGTCTTTTGACCATAGAAAAACATATTTGCTGGTCTTCATCCCAATTCCTTTCACTTTGTCCCTTTCCTCAATGGAAAGCGAATCCTTTAACACGCCACCGTAAGGTTCTGCAAGTAATTAATGCCGTGACGATTGATCTGCGCATAGTTAGACGATTATTTCACATACATTTGAATTAAGAGCTCAATAGCACATGACGTAATGAAGAACTTCACCACAAAATCCACAAAGTCACTCTAAATCTTTTACTACATTTTTGTACTCTCACAGGTATCAAAATACAAAGCTAAAAATATCAGAAATTGCTTTGTCCATTCTCGCCAAGTAACATCACCTCCTATGATAAAATACAAAATAAAACGATTAAAAACAAACAAGAGAAGAGAAAACGCATTAAAAAAAAGTTATTTCAAAATTCAGTTATATGGCGATCGAAAGAAACAATATGTCTCAATATTTTCAATCGCCTAAGAGTTGCAGAAGATGTTGGTTTTCTATAATGACGATGTTCTCAATGCCTTAATTGTAATTATGTCATAGTCACTCGGGAAACTGAGATGATCTGAAAGATTATAAGGAGCCAGACTTTATTGAGGGTAGGAAAGATTAGTTGCCTTGTTTCTTGAGGCAAAAGGAATGAAATAAGCCAAAAATGTTGAAAATATAACCTCTTTACCCCTAGCTACAAGTAAACTACAGCCACGAAGTAATTTAGAATTATCAACTGAGTTGATAACGTAAATTGACTATCGTAAAGAGTTTCAAAGCTGACATTTCGAGCCAACAGAGAGAAGAGAATCGGCTAAATTTTTATTCCCATTAAAAAAAAGTTAATACTCACATCATTCTGATATGCTCCAGAGAATGCGGCTTTTCCAGAGTCCTTGTTTACTTGTTCTTCTGATTCCTGTTTGGTAAAACCAAGAGATTAAGACAACTTGCTGACAAGCTGATTGACAAACTGATTGAATGAAAGACCACCTGACCGACTGCCAGCCTGATTGAGTCATTGACTGACTGAATGACCAGGAGACCGACCGACTCACTCGCTGACTAACTGATTGTTAAGTTATGATTGATCAATATTCCAGCATCTTGGTGATTTTTCTTTTCGTTGATGGAGGCGTGCCTTGAGAGCCAACTGACCAGCCGAGTAACCATCTGGCACACTACATGTAGCTGGACGATTTACTGACTGATTGATTTGTTTGCTGGATGCCTGCCTTTCAGGCTGTTTAAATGAAAAACTAATTGATTGACTGACTGAGTGAATAGCTGACACATTGTCTGTCTGACTATCAAATTCACACATACCTGCGTGAGTGAAGCACTGAACAACTGGCTAACCAGTTGACTGCTTGCCAGACTGTCAAGCCCAAAAATTTACTGCCTGGCCAGCTGCGTGCCTGCCTGACTGACTGAACTACTGACTAACTGGTCTCCACAAACAAGCTAAATGTGATTGGTTGATACATGAAAATGTAGATCAACTGCCTTCCTGCCTGCCTAACTGATTGACTGGTCTCCACAACCTAGCTACATGTCATTGATTGAACATGAAAAAGTCGATCAACTATTAAATTAAGGAGTATGGACATTAACCGGAAATCGCTTCCAAATAAACGCACGTGCATTTAGAAAAAAGCACCCACAAAATGCGAATATGCGTCATGAACCTTTCCCACTCTAAACTTCGCTTGAAGATTCACATCTGTTACAATTGCTTTTGCCGCCTAACAAGGAGATTCATTTACATGTACCTCCATTTGGACTGCAGCGACACTGTCATGTTTAGTATACCCAATCTCTACTTTGCTAGATTTTGTTTTCCTATGATAGACACGAGTTCTTGCGGCAGCATTTGTTTCTCCACCTGAGGAAGAGTTGCCCACATCAAATCCTAGTTTTCCAGCAATATTAAATCTGTTGTGATGCTCAAGTAAGTTTGTGCTTCCAAAGTTCTTAACCCCAAATAAAGAAAGTTCGTGAGACTTTTGGAGGCTTCCGTCTTCTACATGAGTGTCGTTAAAAACATCACTTTTGCGCTTAAAACAGGAGCTTTTGTTGTACACGAATCTCGCCGAAGGTCTTTCGAACTCATTAGTAGGACAAGTAATATTAGTTCCTGCTGGCAAATAATCCTTCTCATTACACTTTTCTTTTTTTTCTGAAAATTTTCCCAAAGAAAGATTTGTCGGAGTCAGGAGAGTAGACATGAGCCTGTCCGAGACTTGTTTACGTTCTTCTTCAATATCATCAGTGCATGTATTTCCTTTAAAAACGGCACACGTCTCGTTCTGTTGGTGAATTGATTTAGGGTATCCTGTGGCAAGAGGACCTTCCATGGCATAACTAAAATTTTCTAGAAGCAACTGGTCTTCCCGACGAGATTTCTCATTAATTGTCACCTTTTCTCTTTGAGAACAATGTAAATTTCCAGTCCTCAGAGATGTTGCATTCTCCTGTTTGCTCTGAAAGTGTTTTGATGAAGAAGCAGTTACAGTAGTTCCCTTCTTTAAGAGTTCAGTTCCAGAAAAATGCTGCCTTTTAACTTCCTCGTCAACGTATGGTTTGAAGTTATACTCAGTAGGAAACGAAATGTCTGCGCAGCTTCCAGCATCTGGAAATAACGTAACAGAGGTATTTTTTATTATATTTTGATTGATAAAGGTTTCCCAATACCTTAATCAAACTTGAAATTAACTGCCCTACACCTTCCAGGGAGATGTTGGATGAAAACAAGTCTTGCTTCATTCAAGTTTTGCATCGTGAGCGAGCGCATTTAAAAGTTCCAGGTTAGTCACTGGTTTGAAATGAACTTCTGATCAAAAAGTTACCAATGTTTCTGTCACGTTTGAATGAAATTAGTGGAGGTTGCGAAAAGATCGTACCAGTCTCTGAATCGTTTTGAAGTAATTGAAAGTTTTTAAGAATGATAGATTCAACTGCGTGGTTGTGAGGGTGAAATGTGAGAGTGAATGGAATGCGATCGGCATTTTCCTTCTGAACCGTTTGTAGTGCTGAATGTCCATCAATTTGTTGGGCACGGCGGTGGCCCGCTTGAACGACAGAAACAGGATAGCCACGTTTATCGAAAAACTAGCACGTTGCCTCTGATTTTTCAGAAAAATCAGAGTCGTCACTACATAAACGACGAAGTCTGAGAAACTGTAAAAAAGGTGATTCCTATGTGAAAGGTAAATTTCTTTGTCAGAAGTTCGTTTCATGGCGACGGCATAGGGCCAATTTGCATTTATGCAGTTCAATGGAAGGCAAGAACAAACCTGTTTTCTTATCTCCTTGTTGAGGCAATAAATTTGCAAAGGAACACTCTGGCGCCAAAAATGGATGCGCAGCAGCTTGATAAGGTGTAAGTCTTTCACCTGAGATCGTGATACAAAGCAAAGAACAAAGGTTGGTTTTTTGTTTTTCACGTGTCAGTGCGTTTGGCATTGTTTTGCAGGATAACGACTGTAACAAACAAAGTGTTTCAAGTAAAAGTTACACAAACTATGATAATTCCGTATACTTACCTGGTTTATACTTCAGCAAGCCAACTAAGAAACGTGCAAAAGAGAAATTCCTTGAATTATGGAGCTTTAACATCACATTACTCACACATTTCAGGTGATTGTCCTCTAAAAGCAATGAAAAAAAAGTCTTAAGTGAGTAAAGAGCCTACATGTGTTGATTCCTACAGTATTTTCTATGTGGGATTTTTTTCCCATGAAAATTTATTGTATTTATGGACGTTTTTGTTGATTCATTTTTTGGGAGCAGAAATAATAGTTGGAAAGGTGAATGAAAGGATACTTTTTTTTCTGGACATCTCATTGTGCATGATGTTTTTTTTCAGAGAATCTTTTCCCACGTATGAATTATTTTTAATTTTCACTTGAACCACCTCTAAGCATCGCTCTCTTTCCACTGGTTCCTCCCTCATACAAAGGATAAGTCGTCTTTTGCTATTTTGCTGATGTATCTTAACCCTTTACTCCATAACATCAGTATGCATATTCTCCATACTACTCTCTAGACATTTCCTAAGGCTCTGACAAGGAGAATTTGTTAAAAAATCAAGAGCTTCTTTAGTGGGCGATCATCTCCCTTATTCTCATGACCTTGATGTTTGATTCAGGGACGATGTTGTGTGGAGAAATTGGATGTTAGTCACTCTTAGGAGTTAAAGGGTTAAATCAATTGTTTATTTAAGTTGTGTACCTGGATTTATGAAATAGTTGCAGAGACTATTTAAACGATGTTGAGGACTAAGTAAGGATTACCAAAAAGTTTGAGATAACTTGATTACATTTGAATCATCTTAAACTTGAATTTACCTGATTTGTGGTGACCTATAAACTGTGACAAATCTTCAAAAATTTTCCAGTATGGAATGGACTCCGAGGTATGGGACCAAGAATACTGGTTACCTGCAACCAAGCATGAAAAGTAGTTACCTTAGGTCATAAACAGCTTGTAAAAGTGCCAAATAAAAAAAAACCAAAACAAAAACATACCTCTTGCAACACTTTAGTCCTATTTCCTCCCAGAAATAAAGGTTTGCCTATATACAACTGAAACCAATGTTCATATTAAAAGGACATTATTTCATTTCCTCACCAATAACATTAATGGCTGGGTGAGTTCTCCTCCCCTTACGGAGAAATATCCATCATAAAACTGTCAAGCATCATCTGTTATTAGCTCTGACTGATGGTCTAATAATCATTAACGATATTTTAATTATGGTGAGAACATACAAGTCAATTAACCAACCTCAGCTACAATGCATCCCAAAGACCAAATGTCAATCTCAGGGCCAAAGGGAACACCAAACATCACCTGGAAAGAATTGACACAGTGCTTTCAGTTTCAACTGACTGCCATCAACATTATCAAGTGGAGGACACTGTACCTCATTGCATTATTAAACAACATTTAGTGGGACCTTCTTCCACAGACTGAACTTTAAAATTCAAGTGTCCAACAACCACTTAAAAACGGCCCTAATATGTACATCCCCCATCTATTTGCACCTGAGATACAATCATGGTAAAATAATTGTGTGAATTTAAATATGTTTTCTGATACATTGCTTGAGATGATAGTCACCACAGAACAGAATTTTCCATCTGCAACAGGCCAACCACATTAAGTTGTTTTATGAAACACAAAACTGCAGAACTTTACTGATCATCTTTCATAGAGTACTTCAGTTCATGCAAGTCCAAATAAAATAGTTTAATCTCGCTTTATTTCCCTTGGATTGATTAGGAAAACACTGGAGTTGCATGCATGTAACCTACATGTAAAATTAATTTTGTCTCCCAATTCATGAAAACAGCAATATCTTTACTTTACCTCAGGAGCTCTGTAAAGTAAAGTTTGTAGTTCAAACTCATCATAATACAAGGAAACCTGACAGAATTAAACAGAAGAAAATAAGAATTAAATTAAATATTTTGAACATTTATCATGTCATTACTAATGGTGGCTGACAGAGCTCCAAGCTCATTTTTCCAAAGAGTTGCCTTTTGGCAACCTTCAAATTTAAAATGGTCGCCATTTAAAAATTTTTGGCTGCCTCTTTTTTCTTTTTTCTTATCTGTTAGTCACCAATTAACTAAAATGTTAAAATGACTAAAATGTTGGCAAAAGTCACCAAATATATTTTCACTTGTCATGGTGATCAAAATGGCATAGATGGCAGTATAGAGAATATGCATATTGATGTTAGGGTGTAAAGGGTTCATAAAGTCTGCAGTACAACAATTCTGATGCATCTAGCTGCACACATTTAAAATTAAGTCACTAAAATCACCAAATAATAGAAATTACATGTACCTCTCTATGAACCCAGTGAATTGCATTTCCAAAGTCAACAACTTTTATCTTGGTTTCGTCACCTACAGTTTGTTAATATAATAAACAATTTTAGTACACACCAAACAAGTAAATAGTGCTTTTTGCATGTGCTGATTGGCTGGTTCCATTCAGTGAATACTAAGTACTATTCACCTCCATGCAGCCTGTGAGACAAAATCACATTGTAAGAGTTTGATTTCTGACCAGTTTTTGGTATATTGAAAGAAATAAACTAATTTTTTGGTATCTATGTGGTATATACTAACAAATTTATTCCCTTCTGTCAGTGTCAGTGAAAGTGGTGGATATTCACCAAGCTGCGAAGCAGTGAGGTAAATATCCACCACTGTTCACCTTCAGGTCTGTGACTAAAATTGTTAAGTGTACAAAAAGTTGTTTTATTACAGTGTATTAACAACCAGATCTCTCAATGGAGGTTGGCTGTCAGCAATGTAAAAAAGGTTAGATCAGTAGCACAGTTCACGTGCACAAACACAGAGAAGCAAACATAAACAAAAATATCTCTCTTACTTTTCCAGCTACAATGCCGAGACTTGGCACAAATAAAAAAGACATAATACTCTACAACTTTGCATAATATCATGGATTTTTATTGAATTCTCATTTTTTTACAAATTTAATTTTTCCAAAAATATGCATAATTTAGGGCGTCACGCGTAACATTCCCATACACAAAATTATCATTATCTTAAAATTTCTTGTGTTTCTCGCAGAAGATATCAACGGAAAAAATCACCTAAAATATCACAATAAATCAGAGATTTCAGATGTATATGTACAAATTTGAAAGACAGACTATCCTTAGGGAAAAATAGCACTTTTTGTTCAAGTGTACAAGCATCACGCTCCATGTTTCAGTCCATGAAATCAGGAGAAAGGTATTCCCCTCGGCGGCATAGAATGCCGTGATAGTAAAACACTTGTTACAATGGAATTCTCATCTTCTAAAGAGCCAGTCCTGAAAGTTTTGGCGACTTTGCGTATTTCAATCTTGAGAATGAAGCAAATGTTTGATTCCCAAACACTATGAAACATACCGCGTCTTTCCGTAAATAAAGGATGCAATGCCAAATGTAAGCCATCCGCAGTACTGCCGGCGTTGGACCAAACATGTTAATTTCCTGCGGTGTCATTCTCATCTCATAACGAAGCTAACTGCTCATTTTCACGAGAAAATATAACAAATTGAGGGAACAAGAAGCGTTTTTCTAAATCCCAAACGTTTTGAAACATTTCGTTCAGGGTTTCAGGTTACATTGAGGGAAGAAAGCGAAAACAGCCGCGCGTCACTTCGAAAACTCTCGACCACTTCGACCACCATTTCACTCGGCTACGTGCAATCGAAGGAAAAACAACAGCTTTGTAACCACCCTAGAAGCTTCTAGAAGCTTTTTGCTATGTAACAAGCCTGGTACACGTGAAAGAGATCATGCAAATGAAAATGGGTGGGGTCGCAATGCATCATGGGTAATAGAGAAATTGCTGGAAATTAACCGAAATGTCCCAAAATAAAGCAATAATTGAAAGAACTGTAATATATTCTCTAAATAAAGAGTTTCAAGAGGTTTTTGATTCCTTTATAAATATTTTGTATTTTTCTTGCATGTTACGCTATTGTTCATATGTACTGTGCTACTGATCTTACGTCCATAAAAGGTTTAGTCCATAAATTCCAAACCTACTGCTCCCATGCATCAAAATGTTTGCAACTAAGACATGGGGCCCTATACAAGGCATCCAGTCACCATCATGATGACAGAAACAAAAATGGGATGGTATATTCATGATGTTTTTTGTTAGGCAAATAATTGTAGCTGATATGAACTCTGAGTATTCATCAAAGTAGTCTTTCACTGACCACTATATTGCGTATCTTCAGAATCTGTATAAAATGTTGGTCTGTTTTTCTTACAAAATGCTATGTACAGCTGTTATTTATATTTAACCAGATCAAAATATTACAACTATCTTTAAAAAGGAAGACTTTTTAAGTCCATTAAGTTAAATCAAATTTTTTGACAATTTGTTGCAAACACCCCACTTCACCTTCTTCAAAAAGAATGTTTTCTGGTTTCAAGTCAGCATGGATGACATTCTGTCTGTGGATTCATATGGAAAGTTGAATGAGATCAAAGCACATAAAATCCTGAAATCAGTCCCTCCTCTCAAATGATCACTCTCCTTTGAAAAAGATCCCCTTTTATTTGCCAAAATGCAGAATAAACATCCCACTTCCAACCTGCAACAACATGGTGGCATCACCAAAAGATGGGCAAGAGAAGATTCCCTTAACAATGAAATAAAATGAAGCCACTTGTGGGTACAGATGAGTAATTCTAGAGAGTCTAAGAAGAACACCTATTGATAATCTTACCTCCTTAGGAATCCAAGAGCTTGTAAGAGCTACAAGCAAATAACCACATCAATTTATTAGATAAAAAAAAAACAACTATTATTTTGATTTCAATAAATTTGACGCATAACAAGTTTCATCTTCATTTCTACTAAATCAAAAGTATTTATAAGAATTAAAAAAAAGGTTTGCTCACTTGAAAAGTTATTTTCCTGATGAATTTCAGTTTGTCATCCTGTTAGTAAACAAAATCAAGAAAACACTGTTGAGTGACTGATATTACAGAATGTACATGGTTAGATGATGATCTTACCAAAAATATGTATATTAAATCAATCATGTTGTTAACAAAGATGACAATCAATTTAACAATGAAAACATACAATGCACAGATGGTAATACATTAATCACTCTTACCTCGTTATCAAACTGACATTTCTGTAAAGAAGATGATTTAAAATATAAATTACTTACATCAGTAGAGATACAACTACAAAGTACAACAATTGATTTAAAGGGAAAGCTCAATGGATTCCTTAACAGCATGTTTATAATTCAATAAAGCCAGTAAATTTCTAAAGCAAACTGTGGTACTGTATCAGTGGGAGAGTATGACAAGGTAATTTGGTATTATTAACTGAATTGATAACATAAATTAGCCACCATTGAGAGTTTCAAAGCTGACATTTTGAATGTTAGCACTTCACCATTCCCTTTGACAAAGGGCTAATGCTTGAAACATCAGCTTTGAAACTCTTAACAGAGGCCAATTTACGTTACCAACTCAGTTGATAATACTAAATTAAACTGTTTAAAATTTAACCAACCTGAAAGTATTGATGGAGTGGCCGAGGTCTCAACAGCTCAAAAACCAAGCAGTAATGGCCCTCAAAACTGAAAACATTCTAAAAATCCACAAGCAAATATGTCAAATTGGCAAAAATGCAAGGTCAGTGAACTGTGGTCCTCTACATAGAATACATTCTTGTACTCATGTACCAAATATATCAGTGCTATGTTACAATTATTGTAAAACAAAGAACCAATTGGAAATCATTATATTAAAACTGCAGTGTTTTACAAGAAAAGCTGTAACTGCATACAAGTAAATTACAATAATTTTTTATGCATGTTTGATACTGCCAACTAAGTGTTGACATGCAAAAAACCTAGTTTGCACCACTCTGTCAAGTTGATGGATGAAAGGCAAAGTATTCACCATTCTCAATCCAAGGTCATTGGTTGAATTGCCTCGTCAGTTAAAGCCAGTGGTGTTTAATACTGTTGAGCAATTGTCCTTCAGTAGGGTCAGTTTCTTCTCTTTTCATGATTTTTCATATGGTATCAAAAAGGTGGAGTGATACTTACAGTGACTGTATAAAATCAGTCCTATTTAACAACAAGCAGATATTTTGTTTCATGTGATTCAGTACTCAAAAAGGATTGTACATTCATGACTTACAAACAAATGGACAGTTCTGGAAACATGGAGAGGATCAGCCTTGTTGAGCTGTTGAATGCAATCTGCCTCCTGCAACAGTTTTGTAAATAAGTAAACTCGTGTAATACAAAGTGGATAGTAAGTTAAAATAATTTACCTTGTAGAAAATCAGCTCAAAGATCTTTGCATGTACATGTACTCTACATCTTGAACAGTTTCCACTGACAATGTACACCTCATGTCAAAGTACACATGGTTGCATGTAAGCTCTTTTCAGTAGTTACGGTTTCTGCAGCACTCTCAGATCTGCATATAACAGATTCATTTGTGGCTTGCTTATCTGAAACGTACCTTATCACTTACAGCTGTATGCATATTAAACTCTATAGACACTTACAGTGTACCTGAGCTCCAAGTCTGGAATAATCCAAATTCAT